ATTCAACAAAAAAAACAAAAAAAAAAATATTGTAAAAACATTTGTAATATTATATAAATTCTAATAAAGGAACAGAGGCATGGCCTCGCTTTTAAAAAAAAAAAAAAAAAAAGTAATACTATTTATAAATTTATAATGCACATTTTTTCTATTAGAATGTAAGTATAGTTTCTAAAATTTTACTTGATTCTTATATTATACTAGTTATAACTTTATAATAAATGTTTTTTCTTATCAAACTGTTAGTTAATAAGTATAAGATTGTTCTATAAAAAACTAAGACTTAAGGTTAGTATTATTATAAAGATCTTTGCCAATGCTTTCCTTCTTTAACACTAAGTTAATTATTTTTAATATTCAAAAAGATAAGTGCAATGTTTTTGTAAAAAGGCAGAATAATTATACCGACTCAAAATAACTTTCAATATTTGTTTGTTTGAAAGCTGCAATGCAAAGTTTTCTTATTTTTTTTTGTAATTTTAATAAGGCATTGTTATGTTCAAATTGGGCTGTTTTACTAAAATCTTTCTGCACAATATATTGTTCAAGTATTTCTATTGCGTTTAATGCTTCTTGATGACTAATTGGATATATTTCCATGCTATCAACTTCCTTTTCGTGGCCAGTTTCAAAATTTCCTGATCACTCAATACTTTATATATATCTTTTTCACCTGAATAATTAATATATTCTTCAAGATTCAACATATTTGAAAAATTAAATACTTCAATATCTGTTTGAAGTTCATCCATTAATCCATTATCGTCATCATCAACAGAGAGTTCATCATCATTCTGAGTATCTGGTAGTAGGGATAATCAATATAATAATTTATATAAGAATATGAATTTTTCAGCTATTACACATTCTTACATTAGCATTACCAAAAGAAAAGGTGCAGTTCTAAAAAATAGACTAATGAATTTTATAATAATCTATATTTAGAATTGCACCTTTTCTTTTGGCGACACTCATTTTCATTACTGTATTATTACAAAATACACCTCAGAGTATTATTTCGTGCCAAAATTTCAAAATGAACTAATAATTAATTTGGCTGAAGAATTTTTTTTATATTTAATAGTAAAGTTAAAAAAATCTTTGACCAAATTAATTCTTAGTTCGGTTTAAAATTTTTTGTCACAAAATAACATCTCAGGGTGTTATTTTGTAATACTGTAATTATTGCTTATCAAATCTAGTACTTCTTGTAATTCATAAATATAGCATAATTCTGAAATTTAGATTTTGCTAATCAAAGTTGCTTTTGAGAATACAGTTTTTTTTTTTTTTATTTATAAAAAATTGGATGTAAAGTAATAATAAGTAATAGTATTAATAAAAATTACTCATCTTTATTTGAAAGAATTCCTGTATATTGAAAACAGTTATATATTATTTCTGATGATACTTCCCTCCACGCCTGAACAATGAACCTTATAATAGTAAGAACATTCATTTTTTCATCTTTTCTAGCTTCATATTGATCAAGCAATTATTTAATAAAATAACTTTAGTAATGATGCTTAAAGCATATAATAATATCAGCATCCATAGGCTGAATGCGGAATATTATGTTTGGAGAAAGAGTGTAAACAGTTGTATTATGAAAGGTTAAGTTACTATAGAAATGATATTTTGCACTATCAACCAAAAGAAGTGTCTTGCAACCAGCCATCTTCAAGTCGAACTCTTTAAGCCACTTTTGAAACAAAATTGTATTTATCTAAGCTTTTTTTACTTGCATTATACATAACACCAAGCGTGTTGCGATTGATATCTTTGAAGCAGTGTAGATTAGATAATTTACCAATTACAAACATTTTTATTTTGTCTGTACCATCAGCATTGGCACAAAGTGCCAAGATCAATCGTTCTAAATCTTTTTTTTTTCTCTTAAGACGTGTAGTGGCCAAAGTAGTATCAGATTCAAGACTAAAAAAAAAAAAGAAGAGAAAAAGTTAA